TTTGGGCTAAAAATAGTTTCTGTTCAGCTTTTTTTAGGCTGCTATTTTTTTTTTATTTTTTTTTCTGCTATTTGTTCTACTTCTTTGTTTGACTCTTGTAGTTAGGAGCTTTGCAAATGAAATTAATTTTTTTTCTTTCGAGAAGGAGATAATTCAAACTCTGTTTGATTCTTAGTAACTACCTATGAATTTTTGATGAATGAAAAGTAAAAAACCACATCTGCAAATTTAAAAGAGTAAAATATTTTGAAATAATTTATAAAATATAAAAAAGTTATTATATTATGTAAGAAATTCTAAAAAATTATAAAATATCAAATTACAAATATTATATAAGATATTTCAAAATAATTTAAAATTTTTTATATTATATTATAGCTTTTTTATATTAAGAAAAATATTTGTATATATACTACAAACTACCAACTAATCCATTAACAAACAAAAATCTTTGTATATTACTAACTGACCATTAACAAATTAAAATCTTTATCTTTTTTTATTTTTTATTTTTTTTCTATATTACTAACTAACAAATCAAGATCTTTGCCTTTTTTTTCAACAAACCAAAATCTTTCTTTGCCTTTTTTTTATTTACTCTTTTTTGATTTTTTTATATTTATTTATTGAGTAACCAGCGGTAACAGTCCTTGATCATGTGCAACTAATCAAATTAATGTATAACAAAAACGCATTGACCTCAGAAAATTAACCCAAATCAGATCCTGTGGAACTAATCGAAAAAAAAATACAATTAATTATACATTTCCTATGCTAAATCTATGCTCTTTATTAAAAAAAAAAAACCTCTAACCAACCATATATTAAAAACTCTATTCTAACACAACACTCACTAATGACCAACTACTCTAACCACAAACAAACCGTACTTGATGAAACTAAAGGCAACACAAAACCATACTAGTGAAAACTTCAACACAACACTGAAATGATGAAATCATACCAACAAAAACAATAACATCGAAGCAACAAAATCACACCAGCAAAAGTTTCAAAAATAATGACACTGTAATGACCAATAAAAGCCTCCAAAAACAACGATGCTAAAGCACTATAAAAGCTCCAAAAATGATGAAATCACACCAGCACAAAAGTTTTCAAAAACGCTAACACTGAAGCGACGAAATCACACCAGCAAAAGCCTCTAAAAACAATGATAATGAAAGCTCCAAAAATGACAACACTGAAATGATGAAATCACACCAGCACAAAAGCTTCCAAAAATACTAACACCAAAGCAACGAAATCATATCAGCGAGAGCCTCCAAAAGCGATGATAAAATTATACCAGCAGAAGCTCCAAAATAACAGAACTGAAACGATAAAATCACACCTCTCAAAAACAACAACACCGAAACAACCTACCCATTTTCGAATAAAGCTAAACTTTAAAGAAAAATTAGTTTAAGCTGAAAAAAAAGAACCAAAAAAAGCAAACAATAAAAAAAAAGAAAATAGAAAAAAAAACAAAGCAAAATACTTATTATATTGTAAGACTCCAACCCAAGCTCCACATTCTCTGGCATCTTAGCAAAGCTAGATTCAAGCAAGTCTAATATTATCTATTATATACAGAAAAAAAAATTAAACAAAAGAGCAAAAGAAAATAAAAAAAAACAAATAAATAAAAAATAAATAAATAAAATAAAAGATAGAGTGAAAGAAAATAAAAAGAAAATAAAAAATAAATAAAAAAAAAACACCTGCGAAAATCTAGATCTAGATTTAAATCCAAATCCGGATCAGATTAAAGGGATGAACCGACCTTCTAGCTTGATTTGGAACTGTTACCGCTGGTAACAAACACATTTTTTCTTATTTATTTATTTATTTTACAGTATAGTTTTTTTTTTATTAATACTGACTTTTGTTTTTGTTTTCTTTTAAACTAATACTAATTTATCTTTTTTTTTGTGAATGACTTTCTAAAACACTAGGTATAAGCATTTTTATAAAATAGATATTTTTTCATTTTTTTTGTTTACTTTTTTTTTCTTAATTTAACTAATTCTTTTTTTCTGCAAGTTTAGTTTGCAGTTCCTAGTAAGGTTTTTTACTATTGCTAATACTGCCAATAGATATTGTAGTCTTGTATATAGTTTTTTGTAATTTTTTTTTCTTAAAGTCTTTTTTTATTCTATGAATATTTTTTTTCTGAGATTAGTTTTTGCTAGATGTTAGAATGGTAATGATTTCTTTTTTTTTTTTGAGTTCTTTTTTTTGTTTTACAATATTTTTTTTGTAAGTTTGTATTTTGTTGAAGTGCTAAAATGGTAACAATTAAAAAACCAGAACTAGTACAGAAAGATAAATACTAGTTTTTTTATTTGTCTTTTTTTTTCTTGAGATTTTTTTTTCTTTTTACTAATATTTCTTTTTTATAGGTTCATATTTTGTTGGGTGCTAAAATTAGAAAACTGAAACTAGTATAAAAAGATAAATACTAGTTCTTTTATTTGTTTTTTTTTTTTTTGAGATTTTTTTTTTTTTATTAACGTTTCTTTTTTATAGGTTTATTTTTTGCTAGAGTGTTAAAATGCTAATAATTCGGAAGCCAAAATTGGTACAAAAAAATAAGTACCAGTTCTTTTACTTGTTTTTTATTTTTCTTGAAATCTTTTTTTTTTTTTAATAACATTTCTTTCTTATAAGTTCATTTTTCACTAGAGTGCTAGAATGGTAACAATTTACCAGTTCTTTTACTTGTCTTTTTTTTTCTTGGAATCTTTTTTTTTTACTAATGTTACTTTATTATAGATTTGTATTTTACTAGAGTGATAGAATAGCAATGATTTGAAAGCCAAAACTGGTACAGAAAAATAAGTATTAGTTCTTTTACTTATTTTTTTTTTTTTTGAGATCTTTTTTTCTTTTTATTAATGTTTTTTTCTTATAGGTTTGTTTTTCGATAGATGCTGGAATAGTAATGATTTGAAAACTAAAACTGGCACAAAAAGTTAAATATTAGTTCTTTTACTTGTTTTTTTTTAAGAAGTTTATTTTTTTATTCTATTAACATTCTTTTCTTGTAGGTTCATATTTTGTTGGTATGCTAAAATGGTAATGATTTAGAAACTGAAACTGTTTTAACTTATAATTTTGTTATTTTTAGTTGGTATTGTTGTTGTTAGGAGATCTTAATATTGTCATCATTTTTGTTAGTATTTTTGAAGTCTTTGTAGTGAATTTTAGCACTTTTGAGTCTTTTTTTGAGTTATTTTGTAGTAATATTTAGTTGTAATATTCATTGTTATTACTTTGCTATAATGCAGGATATCTAAAGACATTATAGGTGCTGAAAATTTTGCAGATCATTACTTATAAAAATAAAGATAATTGGTTAAATTTTTTATAGTTAATTTTAATTTTTTTATAATAGTGCTAAAATTTTTAAAATCCTGAGTAAAATAACTTTTAAACAAAAGACCTTTTTAAAAAAAACTCTCTATATCAATATTTTTTAAATTTTTAATAATATAACTATAGAAAGATTTTTTTAAAAAATATTTTTAATTAAAAAGTTATTAAACTTTTATTACAAGCAATTATTTTGTGATATAACTAGATGTCTTGCACTAGTGATCCAAATTATTAGTTGAAAAATCAACTAGTTGACAACTTTCCAACTAATTGATTAGAAAAATTTTAAAACAACTAATAGATTAAATTTTTAACTAGTTCTATTCCGAAATATTCTATCTGTTCAGGCTAATCCATATTGATTTCTTTAATCTAATTGGCTAATCAACAAATTTAATTACATAATATAAAAATCCATTAGTTGCCAACTATAGTTGGCAATGGCAAATTTTTATCAACTTGGAACTAGAAATGTTAAGTAGTTCACAATGAACTAGTTCAGATGGGTCCTGGACCAGACTTTTTAGAGACTGTTCAGAACTGGTCCAAAACTAGTTCAAACAATTACATGGTATAAGTTGAATGTCATTTTTGACATATGAAATAAAATTTAATTAATTTGAATTAAAAACAACACTTTTAAATAGCAGTATTGTTTTTCATTTTAGGTATTGGGTTATATTTTTAAATTAATAACTTCGAAAAATGAACGATACTTTTAAGATATTGGTTATGCAATGATTAATATCATGAAATTTGGTTTGTTAGAACAAATTTTATAATATTAATTATTGCATAACCAATATCGCAATTATAATTATAATTTATTGTTGTGCTTATATAAACATACAAAAAATAACAAGAAAAAAATCTATGATTATAAGAGTTTTACAATAATTTTAATTGACAGTCAATTTGAAATTTCAAATAAATTTTATAAATGTCTTGCAATTATTGATAGCTTTAGTTTTAGTTTTTAATAAAATTTGAATTATGAATGATATTTTTAAATGGTTGATTTAAATTGATCTTCTTCAAATTACTCTCCCTGCTTTAAAGTTCACCAATCAGAAATGCTATTAAGTACTCTGATTAGCAAATATTAAATTAAAATTAATAAAAGCAATTTTTATTCCAGTTTCTTCTCATTACTACATCTTGCTATAAAGTTAATAGTCTGAAACTTCTCTGTTTAATAATATTTGGGATGAACAAAAAAAGCTACTAGCGAACTAATTATTACTATTATTATGAAATTGGGATATAAAATTTGTATAGACTATACTAGCTAAATTTTTTCACTCAATTTAATAACAATTGTTCTCTTTTAACTTGTAACTCTAAATAATAACAAACAAACCTCTAAAGGTACTTTATTTAATAATTTTTAATAAAAAAATAGTACAATTATATCAAACCAAATATTTTCAAGCCTTAACTTTATAGATAAACATACAGCATTTATACAAACTATACTAGTCTAAATTTCTTTGCTCAATTTAATAACAATTGTTTTTTATTAACTCATAACTCTAAATAATAACAAACAAATCTCTAAAAGTATTTTATTTAATAATCTTTAATAAAAACATAGTACAATTATATCAAACCTAATATTTTCAAGCCTTAACTTTTCTTTCTCCTTTGACAATTACTTTTGTTGACGATTCCCATTTGTTGACAATTCTATTTGTTGATGATTTCTTTTGTCGATGATTCTTTTTGTTGACAATTTCTTTTGTCGATGATTTCTTTTGTTGGAAACTCTATGTTAGTTCAAACAACATGATTTCATAGTTAATATAAAAAGAGTTGTTTTTGTACAAATTCTAATTTTCATATCTTAAAAATTTTAATACTTGCAAGGCTATATTTATCCACAACATATTTTCTTTTCCAGATAAGGATTTTTTAGACAAACAAATTAGTTCTGGTGATGAAACAAATACTAAAGAATCTGAAGAACAATTTTCAAAATGGCACAAAAAAAATGCATATCCTCTTTGGAGTTATTTTAATGAGGCCTCAGATAAACTATCTATTATTTGTGTTCTGTGCAAAAATAAAAATAAAAAAACTCTTTATAGAATTAGAACTGGGATTAGTATAATTAAAAAACATTTTGAAAGCAATCATAAAGAAATATACCAGCTTTATCAATAACTATTATACCTACGAGCTATCGAATATTATGATATTCATAATGAAGAAAAGGTAAAAAAATTGAACAAACTTTTGATCTGATAAATTATCTACAATCAACAGCCGTTCTGTATTGTCGAAGACAAGGATTTTTGGATATTCATTTTTGAACTCGACTCTATTATAAATTACCTTCAAGACAATTAATTTCGATATATATTGGGCAGTTATACGAACAAGAATGATCGCAAATACGTAGTTTTTTTAGAAACTTTGCCTATAAAGTTTCAATTACAACTGATTCATGGTCATTATGTATGAACCAAGCCTTCCTATCAATTGGATCGATAATGAATAGCAATTAAGATGAATATTATTTGACTTTAGTCTCCTTTATGAACGATACATAGGAAGGTTCCTGGCTAATACAATATTTGAAATAATTGAAAATTTTAGATTAAGAAAAAAATCATTATCAGTAACTGCTAACAATGCTGGTAATATGGATGTTTGTGATCAATAGCTTGCTAGCATGTTGAAATTTCATTATGAAAATACTACTTTCTACCGATTGTAGTGTGCAGCTCATATACTAAATCTCACTATCATAAATGGTCTTTTCAAAGTAAATGAATTAACTAAGAAGGCACAAGATTTTGCTAGTATGATTTGTTGCTTTCAACCATATTTAGAAGAGTTAAAAAAATTTTCTAATGAAAAACAAACCATTTTTAATCTTTGAACTCAACTGCAAAACTAGATGGAACTCGCTATATTTAATAATAAATAAACTGTGTAAAATTCGAGAAATGACAAATATATTAGTAGTCTCAATTCCTCAGCTTAAATATGACTGATCAAGACTGTGATAATATTAAAACCATAATAACACTCCTAAAACCTATCTATGAAGCTACAAAATTACTTTTCTTGTCAAGTCATCCAACGATTGAAGATGTTCGTACAATTTTTTTTGTAATAATAAATCATTTAACTAAAGCTAAAAATGCAATAGATTCAATAAAATCACATATTGCAAAAAAAATATTTGAAAAACTTGATAAGTATTGAGATGAATTAAAACCTACTTTCTCAGAAGCAGTATTGCTTAATCCTTCATCTAAATTCTCCACCTATAGTTCTAGTTTGAAATGAGATAAAGCTCATCAAATAATTAATAAGGCCTATCAAAAGTATACCTCTCCTGTTGAAAATTCAAATGAACAAATTTTAGAATCTAATCAGTTAATTTCAGCTCGCAACTATTTTCAAACTCAACTAAAACGAACCTACAATAATATATTATTAAATTGTAATATATTAGAAGACTATTTGAGTATACCTGATGAAAATGTTGATATCCTTGCATATTAGAAAGCAAAATCTGTAAATTTATAGTGGTTATCTCTAGTTAATATGGCTCACGATTATCTGATTGCACAAGCAACCAGTGTTTCAAGTAAAAAGATCTTTTTGGTTGCCAAACATACTTTAAATGCAGTAAAGAACCGATTAGACAATGAAAAGGCATATGCAAGTCTTTGCCTTAAAACTTGGTATGATTCAGGAATAATAAAAAATAAAATAGAAAATAAAATTTAGATATATAGTTATAAATACTGTACTGTATACTGTATGCATTTTTTTTCATATTATATAATAAATACGTAACTGTTTAGTATTTGGTATTACTGTATCTGGTATTACTAAATTATATATATGCATAATAAACTGCTAGAGTTAGGCCAGTATTGAACCAGTTTAGTACCAGAGTATGGACTAGTTTCTAACTAGTTCAGGACCAGACTTTTTAAGGACCAGACCGGGACTGGACCAGACTGGACTTTTAATATTCCTACTTGAAACACTATTCTGCACTATACTAGTTAGGTTAAGCTTATATGAAATAGCATCATTTTGTATGATGGTACTAGAGCAGCCCCCAAAGTGCCATGGTGTAGCTGCAGCTACAGCTAAATGATTTTCATCCAATCAGGTGATACTATATATATTAAGGTTTATGATGTTGATAATCAGTTAAAGTTTATTGCTTTCATGATTGAATTATTAGCACGAAAGTATTTTTTAAAAGTTAAATTCCAATTTTCAAATATTTGGATTACTGTCGTTGAAATGTTGAAGCTTGTTACAGTATGACGATATAGTGCTATAAAAATCTTAAGTAGAACTAGATTACAACTTTTTTTTATAATTAAAATCTTGCGATTTTTATTTATTAGTCTTTTGCTTTATAATTAATTAAAAAACTTATAATCTATTCTATTTTTCTGTAGCTTTGATGGAATTTCTAACTTTTAATGAAAGTATTAGCACTGAAATATTTTCAAGAATCTGTACTATAAGTAAGGTGAAATAACACTTTATAAATTTTATCATAAAGTGCAACGTAGAAGAGCCAACACATTTTCAGTTTGGTGTTAAACATCATTCCTGCAAGAGATAAGAAATCTAATTCAGGTTTGCATTTCTAATATGATCAATATATTCATTTTATAAGTGCTTCAACATTTTTATTTTGTTTTTTTTGAGCTTTTTTACAGTATAAAATTTGAGCTAAAGATTAAAGCAAATATATGAATAATTATTTAGTTTATGAGAATCAGAATAATATATTTGTTAAATGAATTCTATAATTGTATCTGACATACTAAGTACTTTTGGCTGGAGTTTTTATATCTTTTATTCGATATTTTTTAATTTATTAATGTATTGTTAGCCATTCTTTTTAAATAAATGCATTGTTAATTTCTTTTTTAAATAGAATGTATTGTTTAATTACTACTTATTAAATAAAATAATACTGTTTATTAAAAAAACAATTATTAATATTTCATTATTGCTATTGTCCTTTCCTTTATCACTGTGTTTATATAAAAGATCAATTACTTATTCATGCCCTATCTTCTATGTTCAAGTTTTATCTGTGCTATTTTTTGTTGCGATTTATAAAGAAAATATAAATGAACAAAAATAAATAAATAAATAAATAGATAAGTAAAAAAATAAATATCTCAATACTTAAATCTTTAGTAGTCTATTAATTCGAATTGAAACTGTTAAGATTAATATAGACGTACTATAAATTATGTTTTAAAGTATTCCTCCTCATCAGATTTAAATAAAACTAAAAATTACTTTGTGACTATTAATATTATGAATGATTATTTTAACATAGACGTATTATAAATTTTGTTCTAAGTGTTTCTTCTTTTCAATTCGTATAAGATTAAAATAAAAATAAAAATAAAATTATATGTGTTGAAATTCTGAGATGTGAAAAACTCCTCTCAATCATTTTTAGATCAGTTTCATAATTCTTTATCTTAAAAATATAATAAGACTTCTCTTATACCCCTAGATAATTTATAAACCATAGTATAATTGTTATTGAATCCTTGTATACTAAATTAGTTTAATTATTTCATATAAATATTACACTTATCTTACCATGGATATCAAGAAATATTCGAATAGCAAAAATCTTGAGGTTCTTATAAAAAGATTATTCTTAATCATAATTTATAAATCGGCCTATAATTAAAATAGAAGAGTGTAATAAGTGTGAAAACTCGTATTCTGATAAAATGTTTGTTTGGAATAGCATTGTACACCCGATATGTCTCAACTATAAAATGGAAAAGTGCAGTAGATGTAATACCAAGCATCCTAAGGAAATGTTTATTTGGGATGGTGTTAGACACTTAACATGTCTAAAATATAAAGAAAGACATGACAGAAGAAAAAAGATAAATTAAAGTTCTTTAACAAGAACTACAAATTCTACCAATACTGAATCGGTTGCACAATTTCCTACCAATGCTGAATCGGTTACTCAACCTAAAACTAATAGTGAATATGCTGATAATAATATATATATTAAAATTAATTGTCTTGAAGTAGGAAACTTTGTCGCAGATAAGATTTAAGAGCTAATAGCAAGTGTAGACACTAATGAAGTAGCTGATATAGCTTATCAAATACACCTATTAGTAAATATAAATATAAATAATCAAAACATGATAGCGAAAAAAATTGCCAACCTTGTTATTACTGAAATCGAAGGAAAAGATGATTATATATGAATGTAAGTATAATTTGTTATAGTTAATTTATTTTTTTTATTTTTTTATTTTTTTTTATTTTAAATTGCTTATACGCTGCAAATCTTTATTAATTAATATAGAACTTATTACAATTAGATATTACAGTAAAGAAGTTGTGCTATACTAATTACTTAATAATACCTACTCTAGCAATTTAGTCGTACTTTTACTATTTTTTAGAATCTAACTAACGGCTATTACCCCATCAATTAACTTCTTAGTTTGCGTACAACCTACCTATTTCTATACAAGATCTTTTATATTGTTATTAGTATCTTTGTCCATCTATCTGCTTCCTGCAGCAACTTTTTTTTTCTTCCAGTTTGGTTCATTTTGGCAGTTTTTTGCTCTTATTGCTCCCAAATTGGTTTACATAGCCTTATATTCGATTTAGTCACTTTAATTTGAGTACATGTTGTGCTGCTGCTATCGTGTTTGTATCTCAAGCCATCTTTTAGAATGCTGCCATAACACGATCTGTATCTCAAGCCACAACCTTTCCCAAATGGACACGACCAGATTTATCAAAATTCTGGTTGTCATTCTGCAGTGTACCACTTGCTTTTTTATAGAGCTATCATAGTTGGTATGATTGACTTGCAGTATGGGCGCCGAAGTTT